CTCAAATCTGCAAAATGACAGACAATAAATACTGGTACTTTAACAATATCACCAATAAATATATATGATTGACAATAAATTATGTAACTGTTAAAATTTAACTTTGCATTAACAAACAGTCTCAGTCCATTTCAGTTATGCATTTTCTAAAGCTTGTATCATATGACACCAAAACAAATGCTTCCATACACACTTGATACGGAAACACAAAATTAGCCTTAACTTGGTTTCGATACTGTCACAATGCTGATTGAAATGCTGTTTAGGTACATGTTTATATTATGTTTTTCAGATTGATCTGAGAAAACATTTAAATACTATTGTTGACCTGTTTTTCAGTCTAAAGAGTGAGTGAGTGAGTATGGTTTTATGCTGCTTTCAGCAATATTCCAGGGAACACCAGAAATGGGCTTCATCAGTCTAAAGAACTGAGTGTACTCTTTTGTTCACACATACAGCAAACACTGTCAATTTGGCTTACAAAACGTATATAGAAGATTAGCAGAATCATGATGTAGTGATCACTCTTCAATAAATACTGGCACAAGATGGTCAGCTGGGACACAAGAGGCAAGTACCCTTTCACTGTTGTCTTCAGATTCCTCGAAATATGATTGATTCTCCTCCAAAGCTGGAACAACATGATCGTTATCCATCTCTTGTGTTCTGACTTGTTCTACACCTGCTACAGATTGTTCAACACCTAAATCCTGAAACACAAGAGCTGAGCTTGTTTCTGGATTTGATACCTCATGCCCTTGATGTTGAGCTATGTCTGCATCACTATCAATGCCAACTTGTGGTGAATTGAATCTGTGTTCACTCCAAATGCTCAACAAGCAGTTTATATAGGGATTTTCACTACTCTCTTGTCGAGTAATTGGATGAACTGGGGAATTTGGAGGAACATCCCTTGAAGTCCTGGTGTGGATTTCCTGTGTGGTTGTGTGTGTAGTTTCTGATTCTTTTGTCTTGGGTCTTGACAGTTCATCCCAGATATCTTCTAAAGACAAGTCTGATTCTGTACAGTAGAGGTTGATCTCAGTGTCAGAAACTTCAGGTGTTTTCTGCTCACACACTGATAAGAGATCAGTTGATGATATTTGGTGGAATCGGAAGTTTTGGTATCGTCCACATTTTCTTCTAGAACTAGGCCTAAGAGGTGTTTTGAACTGATGCTTTTCCATTTTTCCCTGTCATAATAAAAATTTGAAACTCATAAACTTCATAATCACATTACTGTGACATTAGATACATCAAGTAGATCTCATATAGGTCATATTTATATCCTGAAGATAAGATAACATCAGAATTTATTATTAAATTCATATGATGTTAAAATGTGAAAAAGATTAACCAACTTTAACCAACTTTAACCAACTTTAATAACAGATTATGTATCCAGTTGAATAATAAACAGTATTAAACACATAATCATTGAATAAGACTATTACATGCTGATTTGGATGATTTCTAGGCCCTTGTACGAGGATTGGTCCTTGATCAGTCAAGTATCAGCATTTTTTTAATTAACTCTGGAGTCAGTTTCATTGATTTTGACCTGTAAAATGCTAATAATTGTTAGGAATATCTGGGACTTCTGCTATTTTAAAAGTTCCAAAACAGTTTCATCATATTATTCTAGATTTAATTCAAGAATATACTCAATTTTCGCAAGTATTGACTCATCACAATGGAATCTTTATTTCAAAATAACACAAGCAACCACTGTGTAATGCTGTTTCCGTGAACCAGTTTACTGTGTAATAGGCCGATTTAGAGATATCTAGACCTACTGTTTACAAGAATCAATCCATACGTATGTATACGTACCCCATCATTCATTCACTCAATAAGCTGTCAACGCATTTACACTTACATTTACTTTCTATCGTCGTTATTCTGTGACTGGAATGGGGTCTGTTGAAGATTCATTCTTGCGGTAGCAGCCGACAAAAGGAGCTGGGCTCCTACTCCAAATAGGGTCAAATGATACCGCGCTAATCGTAGCGCAAAGTGGCCATATAACCAGACTGTCGTCAAAACTGAATATGGCGCGCTGCAGAGGATCATGGTCGTCGTAGTGCTAGTGAAATGTCGTGGCATAATGTAGCTCGAAATTAATTTCTTGCCTTGTAATTCTTATTCCTTTGTCCATTACACGTTTGACTTACTGTGGCCTATTTTTTACCAAATGATGTTTTTTTCTGCACTGGAAGAGACTGGCACCTGTCTATATTGAAATAAAAAGAAGGAAAAGCGTCCCCACCTTTCTATAAAAAACACCAGTTTTACGTGAAACGGTCGTGCTTCATTTTTAGGTTTTGAGACCTTGAACTTGAACCTCGAATGCGTTGTTTTGCCACTTCATTTTACATGAGGGAAAGACACGCCTATTGTTGCATTTTGGGGCCACCAAGTTATCCTTGGTATATAAGACGCACTGAAATTGTGAATACTTACATCTAGGTGTATTGTCCTATTAAAATTCTTAAAACATTTCACAATGTTAAACTAAATTAACCTCACCAGAGACCATATATCGGTATATGGTCTCTGACCTCACAGTGGTCATGGGCGGGTCCAAAGGTGTGTGTGTGGGGTGGGGTGGGTGTGTGTGGGGTTGTTTGTTCAGGGTTTGAACCCCCTTGAAAATGACAAAAGACCACATTGAAGTTTTTTTTGGTGCGTTGGCGGAGACAAGGGGGGAGTTGTTCCCTCTACCCCACCCCCCTCTCCAAATTCCTGGAACCGCCCGTGGTGGTGTTTTCGAAACGTATGTTAGGAGTAACATGATAGCAAAAATATCAATATTGTTTCATCAAATCAAGGTTGCAATGAATACGACGTTACACGTTCTCTACAGTGACAAACGATTTTCACTTCGCTGTAAGATAACTTTATTATAAATGCCCTTCTTGGCAATGCGGCCCTCAACAAAGTAATACAACATGTTAATTATATACAGCATATATAGCCAGTCGTTTGGGGCATGGTAACTGACGACTACAATTCACTTACAAAACAGCACACCTGGCAAGAATTAAAACAAACACGAGTTGTATCCAATAAACTTGTAACTACAGTTAGTGCTCATTGAAAAGTTCAAGTGTCAAATAAGAACCACAGAACGTTAAACTTATACTTGATATATATAAAAACTGCGAAATAAGTTTATTCACATTTTTATCAGTTGATATCGTGTGTTTCATGTTTCTTTTTTGGTAACGTTCACGACGTTATGTACTTATTTGTTTGTAGATTAACGACGATTTTAGCTACATGACGGCGACCTGTAAATAATCGAGTATGGAGTACACAATCCAGTGATTAACATCATTGTAGTGTATAGGTGATGCATATGGTAGTGTTTACATAGCAGCAGTCCCGCGCATTTCTGCGAGTTTCCAGATGTAAGACTCCGCGTGTGTCCCTTCCACTACACCCAGGCAGTGTGGAGGAGGGTCCAAGAAATAGGACTGACGGTATGTGTAACATTTTGTGTACTGTTATTTATAGCTGATGGTAAAGATTTGTAATTACCCCTTCTTTCAAAATTTGGGCGGTGGGGTAGCATAGTGGTTAAAGCGTTCGCTCGTCACGCCGAAGGCCCGGGTTCGATTTCCCCACATGGGTATAATATGTGAAGCCCCTTTCTGGTGTCCCCCGTCGTGATATTGCTGATTATTGCTAAAAGCGACGTAAAACCTTACTCACTCACTCCTTCTTTCAAAAGTGAGTAGCTGCCATGGACTATCCCGCCACCAGAGACCATATAATCTATTATATGGTCTCTGCCCGCCATAAAGAAGAAAATTAAAAATGAAAGAAAGACTTTTTCTGTGTGTCCAAGGTAAAATCTGGTAAGTCAGTCACTTCGGACTTACAGATTGTGTAACCCCTGGTTACCATTCTAAAAGGTGCTGATATGATTTTAATTAAATTGGGGTATTTTGAAAAAAAAAGAAAAAAAAAAAGGTTGCCTTTACTAACATTATTTTGAGGCTTTTCTTTTCTTTCGGTGACCGGAAGTGGGTCGTCCTTTTCGTTCCCGTCCACTGTTGAAGCATGGTGTTGCGGGGTGTTATGTACTTTTGAGCTAGGGGTCTTTTCAATATAGAAACGATTGTTGTACTACCTTTGATGATCAGTGTAATTGCTAGGTGTTATCTATTGCCTATACACACATTCGCTCTATTACCTCTGCTAGTCTTCAGGGAATCTGAATTGATTTGCGGTTTAGTTGCAACATTAATCGTATATGGCACCTATGGCAAAGCAAATTAAGGGTGGACAGTTTTCTTCTTAAAATATCAAACTAAACTTCATTAATGAGAAGCTCAAATAGTTATAAGGACGTGAGTACCATTACTGATCATGAATTAACTTAAAATACCTATATAAAACTCGGTTTATAAAAAAACGAGAAGTGCAATTTTCAACGTAAAGTTATTTTATTAAAAATACTGTTAGGACGGGTATATCCTTGATCGAAGGAGTGAGTGAGTGAGTAAGTATGGGTTAACGCCCCTTTTAGAAACATTCCAGCAATATCACGACAGGGGACACCAGAAATGGGTGGGGAATCGAACCCGGGTCTTCGGCGTGACGAGCGAACGCCCTTAACCACTAGGCTACCTCATCGCCCTTGGCCGGAGGAAAGTAAGTAAAATATGTATCAGGACTGATATAGTACCCAAACAGTTCATTACACAAAATGTAAATACTGGAAAAAAATGCATTGCAAACAACCGCAATTGCCTATTGGTAAAAAAAATTGAAATGAGAAACTCGAAATATCGCAGGTCAACTTACAGCCGCTCGAATTTATAACTGCGAAGAACAAGATATGAAATCAACTGACAAGAGCAGTGTTGATGAATATTTAACTTGCGGATACCGTCTGTCGAAACCAATAACAAACAGCCAATAATCAAAATCTCACTGAAGTTTGATGCCTACCACGTCATTATCTCCCTTAGTAGTTCGCTCCAATGCTTTTGGACGTATAGGAAAAGCAAACGTAACAGTGAAGTTTAATGGATGTGTAATGGCGGCAGAAAAGTGCTCGTGTAGGCCATAAGTAACAGGTATCGTGGGCGTAATCATGTGCTAATTAGCTCCTTCTAAAATCTGCAGCCATGCAAATTTCAATATGTGTGTTATGGTAACGAAGTGTTGGAACATGGTTGCGTACATGTGTCCAATATATTTGTGTGCGTATGAACTTCGACGGTAAAATCGGATCCATTACCGTGCAACCTAATTATGACGGAAGTGCCCCTGTCGTGGACAGTGCACACATATAAGAATATTTTGTAGGCATGTTTTTGTTGTTGTATTATCGGAACTAAGAGTTATTGACGCAGGTGTAGAATGAGTCTGCAGCAGAGTAATATCTCATGACTTTTGTAGCGGATTACCAAATATTGTCGTTGGGGACGTTTTATTTTTCAGACTCTTTGCACAATTATCATGAATATGTTTGTTGATCTTGAAAGATTTTTCTAGTTTAGGTTATGTTTAAATCATAATTGAGGAATGTCAACAGCCTGCTTGTTGTTTTATTCCGCTCAGAAATACTCTGGCAACGTGTACACATAATTAAGTCTCATCCAATTAAACAATGACTGGAGGAATTAAGAATGTCCCTTGTAATCAGTGACGTAATTAGTCGAATATGTCTCAAAACAAGTAGTAAAAAAACCATACTGTTTGTTCTTAATATTCACCACTAAATCTCATGGGCATTGAAATGTATATTTACCTGATAAATTTGGTTTTGACGATTTGCTTTGCAAAAATTCTAAAAGGGGATTTAGTCTAACCCAACTAACACTAAAAGAGCATAAAGAAATGGTAATGCTAAACAGAAGCATATTCCACAGGTGCATATAATGTTTGGCATTTAGATGTTTCTGTTTGTTACCTGAAACATACTTTAAATATTTTAAGATTAATGTGTAACTAACTAAATTAATTATTATATATTTATGAACTAAATTAACTTTGACAATGTCTCTGTTGTTTACATGAATGCCAGTTTCTGAATACTGTGAGCTCATATGACCCTTGGAAAATGCTTTTAAAAGATAATTTCAAATGTTTTTGGCAACTTGGAATATGAAGTAGACTTCTTGTTTGGGATCTAAATCTTAAGTTTTCAAAAAGAAATCCCTGCCTACCTACCCCAAGTTAATAATTGCATTCATTGGAGCCTCAGCTGACTTTATGTGTGGCCTTAGAGTTTGAATGACTTATTATTATCCCTGGCCATGAATTGGGAGGATGATATAGGTTTGAGCTCTGTCCGCGTGTCCAAGATAACAATATAACAAGATTGGTATGTGGTTTGGTAGGCCTTGATGAAGTTCGAAAACGGAAACCGTGTTACAATTTGTTACAGAGTTATGGCCCTTGTTATGCATTTCTTGATTTACTGCACGGTATCCCCACTGGGGACAGATATTCTCAGTAACCGTTATAGATAGGGAAATTAAATGTGGTATGTATTTTCAGTACACAAATGCCTTGATGGAGTTTGAAAATGTAAATCGTGTTACAATTCTTTACAGAGTTATGGCCCATGTCATTTGTATCTTGACTTATTGCACATTATCCCCAATGGGAACCTGATTTTCTCAAATTGCTTATTGAGTGGAGTTATTTAGATTCAAGATACATGTATTTAAAAAACTATAGCATCAGCTATGACTTGTATAAAAATGTTTTGTGAGCATTTGACAAAATTGTTGAGTCAAATAATCAAGAATTACATGTCATGTAAAACCAAGATTGGCAATAAAAGTGACTGACGCACTGGATTGGGTGCACAAATGCCCTCAAACTGTATCTTTGTTTTCTTGGCCTAACATATTGGGTTTTAGATGACACTGTCTGCACACAGGATACAACATGTCTGAGAAAATGTTAGATATTTTGTTTTTGTGACTGCAGATGCTGTTTGATGGTGCTTGGAGATAGTGAAGCAGCAACATGTGGCATGAAGCTCGCAGGCAGGAGAAGAAGATCCGAGGCCTTATGGTCGACTACAAGAAGAGGGCAGAGAGAAGAAGGGAATTCTATGAGAAAATTGTGAGTCGAAAGTAGTTTAAAAGTTATTGTATATTTGTAGAGCTTGGCATTGCTTAAGTAAGATTTTGATCGACCTTCAAAGTCAGGATCACGATACGGTCATTTGTAAGGACGGTCTGTGTTTGTTTGAGAAGTTCATTAGAGTAATGGTTGATGTTTTAGAAACAAATATTTTATACTGCACTTAGCAAAAATTGAGGGCCAGATCATTAAACTGGAATTGCTTATTAGATTCCTATTTAAATAGAGGAACAGAACTTTCAGTCTCAGAGTTGTTTTCATGTTTTCCATAACCTGAACTGATGTAATTAAACCAGAAAACATGGTAACTTTATTGAGGTACGGTGTAACGGTACTTGTTGGCAAAGTTTGGAAATTTTACTGGATTGAACATGTGTTTTCCCAGTCAGAATGTGATGTCATTAGACTGGATATGCTTATAAGTTTGTTACTACGTTGCTGGAGGCACATTTTGGGTGTATTCAGGACCAGGTTAGGGGTTAGAATGGGTCTGGATCTATTCACATGCAATGAAGACACTTCCTATCATAGTTTCCCCACAATGGTACAATGTGTGAAGCCCATTTCTGGTGACCCCTGCCGTGATATTGCTGGAATATTGCTAAAAGCGGCTTAAAACCAAACTCACTCACTCACTCACTCCTATCATAGTTACATGTGACAATCATAGACTACAAAGTCAAAGATATATTGTAGTGTGATAGTTGATAGGTTATTAATAAAAGTTTGCTTTGTGTTACATTTTGTTTGATGACTTGTATTTCAGAAACTAGATCCCACCCAGTTTTTGAGGGTCTATGGAAGGCCATACAAGATACACCTGGACCAGGCTGTTGCCATGGCAGCCGAGAGTCCACAGAGCATGTAAGGATGCCTTCAGTACATTATTTGTAAGGGGCACAGCATGTAAGGATGCCTTCAGTACATTGTAAGGGGCACAGGTGAACCTTTCATCTTAGACCCCACAGTTTGCTGACGGAGTTGCTTCCCTTAGACAATCCAGAAACCTATGGGGGCTGCTGGTTTTGAACTCAGTTTGCCCAATTATGTAATGATATATGTCGGCGCCATACATCATAGCCTGTTGCAGAGCTACAGATAACATTTTGGGTCATTGAGTTATGTACTCGCTTGTGTTCATCTCAATTGGATATCCTAATTTTCCTTTGAGTAACCAGATAAACTGTACCCACCCTCAATCAAATTTAGTTGGATATTTTGAAATTTTACATTAATTGTAAAATTATAATAATATTTAAATGCTGGTTTACGTGTTTGTTATTTATATTTGATCTGTTATATGAGAAACCATAAGAAAGACTGCAAGTTGCCAAGTTCATGTGCTGAAATAGAACCTCTCAATACACCTCAGTTATTTATCTATTCTGTGTGTACTCGTGTAAGATCAAATTCATTGAGTATTTACAAAAATTCAAACGTACTTGTACGCAATAGACTTAGTAGGAATTGAGTTTTCACATGAATATTTGCGTAATGTACGCAGATACGCAGCTTATCTATACTACTGCTGTTGCATAGTTTGATAAACATGAATTGAATTACATATACTTGTATGTTAAGGAAAGAGTATTACGAGATGCAAAGCATTAATTCATTTATGATTTACAATTAACCTCATGAATTCAGACCAATTTATGCTGTTTTGATAAATGCTTGTCTGTAAAACAAGTCGGGTCCCTGAAAAATAGTGTGTACCTGTAAATCTGAAATATCAGTCAGTGTGAAGGTTTTCTACATTTCACTGGGCCTTTCAAGTGTTATATGGCTGCTAGCATGTGGGTTAAAGTACTTTCAGAAATAGAAAAAACTGTTTTCTCACATTTATATCTACAATTTATGAAGTTAATATGTGAAAGTGTGAAATATCTGTTAAAACTAAGTTCGGCCTTACTATAGTCTCAGTGGTGGGGAGATAGGAAACATAAAAAAGGACTTTACTGAGGAGAGATTAGTGCAGAAATGAGCAATGCAGGTTTTTTTTCTAAGGCCAAAGCGACTTAATTAGAACAGACCATAGCTTTATGCAAATTAGTGTGCGATATTTTATTTCAAAGGACACTTTTTAAATGCCTATTTTGAAACTAGACTTTGCTTAATTATAAACGAAAGCAGACGTAAAAATACTAACTTTAATACTGAAACTATTAAGGATGTAGCTACCATGGAGCCTCACCATCACTATAAAAAGAAACAGGTCGTCTCAAAAGCAAAACCAGGATGAGTGTCACAGACTGTGGTGTGGGTTGTATTGGGGATGGAGATATCAGCTGAGATAAGATAATCCTTTTTAGGAAAGTAAACTGGGGAAGTAAACGGCATGTCTTAACAATTAACAAATAATATCCAGTCCTGTAGATCTTTAGGTGAGTCGACGGGTCCATTGTCATACCTAGCGACCTAATTGCCATCTATAGTCTGATCTTGGGGTGGTCTTGCCACCTATATATTTTCAGACATTTAATACGATAGTTGATTTCAGCTTTTCTATGGGTATCATATTGTTTTACATATCTCAACATAAACGTTATGAAAGATGCAGTAAGATGGTAATCAGTAGATGAGACATATTCAATATACATGAAAAAAGCATAAAATATCTTTGAGATGACCCCTTGTGCCAATAGGCAGCACATGCATTTCATGCTAGGTGAGTCGACGGTCCATCGTCATACCTGGCTGAGCGACCAAATTGCCATCTATAGTCTGATTTATTGTTTTCAGCAGCTATTTGTATTTTTTCTAAGTTTTCCCCGATTTTACGAGTAAACATGCATTTCTAGATATTCTATTACACATCCCACTGAACGCCCAGTTAGGCCGATACGGGTTATTTCAACATATGCTACTTGCAGTTGTGTAAATTTTAGGGATACAGAGTAACAGCTTAAAAAGCTTTTCCTATTTCCGACAGTACTTTAGTCTTATGCTCCAGCACTTGTAAAACAATCTAATGAAACTGAACATTTTGATTATGAACTGATTATAGTTGATGAGAGCACCAAGAGATAAGTTAACATGGTAAATCCAATCATATAACTTGGACAAGAAAACATTTTGCGCTTCAATGATTATTTGATATTAATTATCTTCATTTTGTTTCTAGGATGCCTTGGCAAGGTCACCGTGACAACATGATAGACAGGTTTGATGTTCGAGCTCATCTTGATACAATACCTGAGCCAAAGAAAACGGAACCAATTAAGTAAGTGCTCCTTGAGTTATAGAATAAGGAGATAGACCAACAGTGTAAGAAATTTCATGCAGATCAGATTCAACATGTTCATTTGCACTTTATCTGAGGTTTTAATCAATCAGTGTTTTCATGTTTATGTTATTGTGTGAAAGAGCAGGTTAATTTTGGTGGTTATATGCATACCACCAGGTAGGTAAATATTTAATGATACTTCTGAAATGTATTACACAGATGCACTTTGTATTTTACAACTGCAAGACATTATTGTACCACTTTTAGACTATGACTTTACACCTGCCAGACTTTACAGTACTGATTTTACACCTGCCAGGCTTTACAGTACTGATTTTACAACTGCCAGGCTTTACAGTACTGATTTTACAACTGCCAGGCTTTACAGTACTGATTTTACAACTGCCAGGCTTTACAGTACTGATTTTACACCTGCCAGACTTTACAGTACTGATTTTACAACTGCCAGGCTTTACAGTACTGATTTTACAACTGCCAGGCTTTACAGTACTGATTTTACAACTGCCAGGCTTTACAGTACTGATTTTACAACTGCCAGGCTTTACAGTACTGATTTTACAACTGCCAGGCTTTACAGTTGATTTTACAACTGCCAGACTTTACAGCTTTACAGTACTGATTTTACAACTGCCAGGTACTTTACAGTACTGATTTTTACAACTGCCAGGCTTTACAGTACTGATTTTACACCCACCAGACTTTTACTGATTTTACACCTGCCAGACTTTACCAGACTTTACAGTACTTTTTACACCTTTACAGTACTGATTTTGATTTTACACTACCAGACTTTACAGTACTGATTTTACACCCACCAGACTTTACAGTAGTACTGATTTTACACCTGCCAGACTTTACTGATTTTACACCCACCAGTACTTTTTATTTTACAACTGCCAGACTTTACTTTACCACCAGTACTGATTTTAGACTGTTTTACAGTACTGATTTTACATCTGCCTGCCAGACTTTACAGATTTTACACCTGCCAGACTTTACTGATACAGATACTCATTTTACAACTGCCAGGCTTTACAGTACTGATTTTACACCAGCCAGACTTTACAGTACTGATTTTACACCCACCTGTTTTACAGTACTGATTTTGTACTGATTTTTTTACAGTACTGACTTTACAGTACTGATTTTACACCTGCCAGACTTTTTACAGTACTGATTTTACACCTGCCAGACTTTACAGACTTTGCAGTACTGATTTTACAGTACTGATTTTACACCTGCCAGACTTTACAGTACTGATTTGCCCAGACTTTACAGTACTGTACTTTTTACACCCACCACCAGACAGTACTGATTTTACAACTGCCAGGCTTTACAGTACTGATTTTACACCCACCAGACCACTGATTTTACAACAGACTTTACAGTACTTTACAGTACTGATTTTACACCTGCCAGACTTTACAGTACTGATTTTACACCCACCAGACTTTACAGTACTGATTTTACACCTGCCAGACTTTACAGTACTGATTTTACACCTGCCAGACTTTACAGTACTGATTTTACACCTGCCAGACTTTGCCAGACTTTACAGTACTGATTTTACACCCACCAGTCTTTGCAGTACTGATTTTACACCTGCCAGACTTTACAGTACTGATTTTACACCTGCCAGACTTTACAATACTGATTTTACACCCGCCAGACTTTACAATACTGATTTTAGACCTGCCAGACTTTACAATACTGATTTTACAACTGCAAGCCTTCTGATGAGCTGGTGTTGTTTTGTTTCAGGCTGAGTCGTGGTGTTGAGTCGTGGTGAAGAGGATGAGGAACGAAAAGCCAACTATGAACGATACCGAACACTGGTGGAGAGTGAGTCGGCAGGATGTAAGTTCATCATGCTTAATGGTTGATTTCAATCACATGTGGGGATAATCTGGTTAGAGACGGCAGTGTAAGTTGATCATAGAGCCTGATCACTCAAACCCATCTGGCTACAATTTCAACCAGCAATTTGCTGGGGACCTGATCTAACTCAGAGTTTCCATAGGAAATCTTGCATAGCTAATGTAAAGGCATTGAATAATGTAAAGTTTGGCAAGGATGAAAGGCAGCTACTTGCCCTCTTGTTCACAAGAGGTGAGGTGAGGTGAGGTGAAATTGGGTTTTACATCGTGCTTGAGAATATTTCGCTCATATGACGACGTGCTGCTTGTACTAGTCCAGACTTAAGCTGGTTTTATAGTGCTAGCCCACTGAGATACCATGCCGCAGTGAAGCAGGAATACCCCACTCAGACACCATTATACTGACTCCGAGCCGACCAGTCCTTGTTGTACCCATTAATGCCGAGCGCCAGGCAGGGACCAACAAGTAGCATATTTTAACGTCTTTTGGTATGACGCGGTCGGGGATTGAACCCGCGACCTTCCGCTCTCCGGGCGGACGCTCTAACCACTACACCACGGAGGGGGTCTTGTTCACAAGATCATATTCAGGTTATCCGTCTTTACAACAGATTTTACCCCTTGAAGTAACCGGGTTTGAAGTAACCCATGTTTATCAGATGAGGACTTGGTTGATGTAGGTCTTTGTATCCCAATTGCTTAGATCAATCCAATCATTGGATTATCTGGTTCAGAACTGATTATTTACAAATTTTCATCATGTAGTTGGAATATTGCAGAGTGCTGACTGGGCAGTGTTTTGATGAATGATATTGAAAACAGTATTATGGTCAAGATGGGTCGATATTGTAGATAAGACATTACATTTAGTTGAAACAAACAACTAGCTAGGTTAACAATGATGGCACATTGCGGTAAGCTCCTGACTGACTGTTGTTTGCAGTGACTGAGGAACAGGCTCTACACCAGATCTACATCGACGAGCAGTTTGGACCTCCGGACAGAACAGTGGAGGAGGAGAAGAAAAAGTGAGGAGCTGTTTTATCTTAATACTGTCAACTTATACTTCTCATAAGAAGTTAGAGACTATAGGTAATCTGTCATGGTGGGACTCATACACTAGCGTTATGGGAAAAATATTGGGTGGTCCTTAACGTTTTTGCATTATAAAGGGGGATTACTTTCTGCATAATTTTAGAATTTATGGATAATTAGCTATTTGTATTTGTTTCTGATTCTTCCGAATTCTGAATAAAGGGATTAAGTAATAATGACCATGGTTACCAAGGCAACGCTATTTAACATTGACTGACCAGTTAGTGTTTTGATATCAGGATGACCGTTTTTTTTTTTGTATCTCCCTGAATTTGAACATGTTGTGAGACTACTTTAGAGGGACTTAATTCGAATCAGCGTGATGATGTATGTGTATAATTTACTTAGACATACAATAAAAACCTTTTAATCCTCAGACCTGATCCCAATTAAATCCTCTTTCCAATAGAATAATATCCTGGGTATTATACAAAGGTGACAAACAGTAGCTGACAGCAAGGTCTGAATAATCAGGATATGGACTGAAGGTGTTTCACTGTATTTTGGGGCGATGGGGTAGCCTTGTGGTTAAAGCATTCGCTTGTCATGCCGAAGACCCGGGTTTGATTCCCTACATGGGTACAATGTGTGAAGCCTGTTTCTGGTTTCCCCTGCTGTGATATTGCTGGAATATTGCTAAAAGCAGCATAAAACTAAACTCACTCACTGTATTTGGTATAAACTTTATACATGTGGATAGTGAAGTCTGCACACTAGTAGTCCAGTAGGTTGGCATTGTGGAGACATATATGATGTAGTTAGTGTAATGTACTTGTGGTATGTGGTACAGACTGGCAGACAAGAAGGCAGCCATTGGCTACACGTACGAGGACAGCTCAGCAGCTGGTGGTGAGAATGGAGAAGAGGATGGAGAGGAGAGTGATGAAAGCAGTGACACGGATGTGGAAACAGCAGATTTAGGTGAGTTTAGTTTTACCAGCATTTGTTTTACGAATGTGCACAGTGTCTAGAATGGTTATTGTATAATGGAGGAGGGTATGAACTATTATGATACTGAAAAATGTGTGAAACCTTTATCCTAGTCAGGTGTTGGCACATCATTCATCAGAGAAACCAACAGGTACCAAACATTAGTAAATCAATGATGTGATCTTGTTATTTTGTGAGCGCCATGGCATCTAAACAATGAAGGAATCTGTGTTTTCTGTGGGGTTATCAATTATGAAAATAATAGCGGTGGGGTAGCCTGGTGGTTAAAGCGTTCGCTCGTCACGTCGAAGACCCAGGTTCGATTCTTCACATGGGTACAATATGTGAAGCCCATTTCTGGTGTCCCCTGCCTCGATATTGCCTGAATATTGCTAAAAGCGGCGTAAAACCATACTCGCTCGCTCATTAGGCTTCTTTCATTTTGATTGGGTGATTAATGTTTTCTGATTATGTTTGGGTTCAGTTTACCTGACCAGTGAAGATCCGGGGTAGAATAGGTCTTCAGCAACCCATGCTTGCTGTAAAAGGCGACTATGCTTGTCGTAAGAGGCGACTAACGGGATCGGGTGGTCAGGCTCGCTGACTTGATTGACACATGTCATCGGTTCCCAACTGTGTAGATCGATGCTCATGCTGTTGATCACTGGATTGTCTGGTCAAGACTCGATTATTTACAGACCGCCGCCATATAGCTGGAATATTGCTGAGTGCGGCGTAAAAGTAAACTCACTCACTCACTCGCTCACTCAATTTACCTGACCTTCTGTGGAAGTGTCCTCAGACCTGCCTATGAAGAGGTCGGTGTTCAAGTAAGAGAAGTGATTGTGAAGTGGGATTCCTTTACTTATTGCTATACTTTATGACAAATAATGATGCTGTTTCAGACGTGACGCTGGATGTAGATGAGCTGACTGTGGAACAAATGGTGCTCATTAACCAGTGTGCCGAGGCATATGGCATGAAGCAGGATGACTTTATTAGGTAGGCTATGCTACAGTATCAAATGTATGGGGACACAGAGGATTTGATATGCAGAGTTGTGCCCCTTATGTGAGCCAGTATCCTATGGTTATTGGTTTGGGTCAGATTCGCCTGTCTTATTATTCTTTGTTTTTTAGCACCATAAAATCAAATAACTGCATAAAAATGATGCAAACATATACATGCACACATACATGTAACACATTCATACATATTACTATAGAAGTGCAATAATCATAAACACATCATTTAACCCATTTCACCTCACCTCACCTCACCTCACCTCACCTCACCATATCCTCAAGAAGCTGAAGATAGACCACATGTGTACAATGTAAAACCATTGTGTCCCCTCATCCTCGATAATCTCCAGGGTATACGTTACGATCACCCTTCACTATACCCTGGATGCATCCACGGCTTGGGGCGATGATTTTATTACCTCCCTTTGCTGGCTCCGCATTCTCACAGTAGCCAATCAGCTAAGCCGCCGTTACAACGAGCTTGCCAGTGTCAACAAAGATTGCGGTCGCAGTTGCAAAGGTTTGATCGCAGTGCCACTCAGATTTTTATGGAAATAATAAAGACAAATTCACAGATCTGAAACTTTAAGAAGAATATATGAAAGAACTCCTTCTACTTCTTTCAGAGTACCTCTGCATCAATTGTGTTGCCAAGTTTAAACGGTTAGATAATTTAAGATGCGAAAGTGAGTAGTGATTGGTATGCTCAACTTCCCAGCGTAGGCACCTGACTGGATAAAAAGTCAGCAAAGGGAGGTAATAAAATCATCGCCCCAAGCCGTGGATGCATCCAGGGTATAGTGGAGAGTGATCGTAACGTATACCCTGGAGATTATCGAGGATGTGTGTCCCCTATGCATACCTGGAATTTTGTAAAATCCCTGCTCTCTTGTTTATATGTGAGTCTTGAATATATATACCAGTGACTCTATTCTGCGATCATGTGTTTAGATTGCTGAGAAAAGACAAGGAAGAACTGGAGGCATTGAGACAGGCTAAGCTGCTGGAAGAGGAGAAGGCCCAGTTTGCTGTACGTACACCTACCAAGGGGGATGTATAGGTGATCTGTAGCTGATCAGGTGGCGTAGAATGTTTTGGGTCTTGTTGAGGGGGTTTATGGGGCACGGGCAATTAAATCATGCACCAAATTACGGCAGAGTTGTGTCTCTTAGGCATGATTGAAACCTCTGCTCGTGGGTTTGAATCCCTGTTTGTTTTATTTTGATTCTTGCTTTGCTTGCACCATACTCACGCTGATTGTTTCACCATAATGGTAAACATCTCATATCTGTATCACTTCATGCTGTCATTCCATTCTCTGTTGTTAGGCCATGATAGGGCTGAAATACTGTTCAAAGTGGCACTGAAACAACGTGTGCACTGTAATTCATAGGACAAGTGGTAGGTCACAGATTGTGTATGTTGTTTGTGCTCAAGCTATCTACCACTGGAGGGCAGTAGGGTAGCCAAGTGGTTAAAGTGTTCGCTTGTCTTGCTGAAAGACCCGGGTTTGATTCTCCACATGAGTGAAGCCCATTTCTGGTGTCCTCTGCCGTGATATTGCTGGAATATTGCTAAAATCGGCGTAAGACCAAACTCACTCACTCACTTCCACTGGATTTAACTGACTTGAAAATGTTGCTTCTTCAGTGATTATAGCTCAATTTCAAGAAAGAAAAGGCCCTCTAATTGTATTAAAAATCATGTCTTTACAGAGAGTATGATGCGAATACATAATATGCCTTCCCTGAGTATGATCTCATGAAGTTCAGGGTCTTCAGCATTTCATGATTGTTGTAAGAGCCAATTAAAGGGATTGGGTAGACTTAATGCCTTCCTTCATATACCAGTTACATAGATCAATGTTCATGATATCAATTACTGGATTGTCTGGTCCAGACTCAGTAGTTTACAGACTGACATCATATTGCATAAATATTCCTTAGCAGGGCATTAAACAGTAAACAAACCCCATTGCAAACAAACAAATTTAGCAGTTGTTTCACAGTCTCTGTTTCTCTACTTCAGGGTCGCAAATCTCGAAGAGAACGACGAGCGTTTAAAGACAAGCGTTTGCAGGGAAGGAGAGTAAGCCCACCCAGGTTGGATGTTATTTTTGCTTCCTTTGAAAGAAGGTTTTCATTGTACAATTAACAATAACCTGTGGGTATTCCAAACTAGCTCTCGTGTAACCTTTGCTGGTAGTATGAGATGACCAAATTGATTGGAGTAGGCTTGGTTAATTGGCTGTTTTCATTGTAGCCTGACAATATGGGTCATTCATTATTTCATACTGTATCAATCACTGGATTGTCTGGTCCAGATTTGATTAATTACACCCCCGTTGTCATGTAGCTGGAATGTTTGGGAGTTATCAAACAAACAACCACATGCAATAAGCAATTTAGCTTTTATTACTCTAGCTGTTAGAAATTTTTTCTGTACTATTGACAGAGATAAACAATAGAATGGTCACTGATATATTATGACCCTAATTTCTTTCCACAGGAGATTGTGTGTGCGTGAGAAACCTGCAATGAAATTTCTTGCTTTGATGTACATTGTAAAGTCATCAATTACCATGATACCACAATTAAATGAAATAAGTTTGCTAATCTCTCTTTTACAAGGCTGGTTAGCTGGTCTTTTTACCCTGAAGACACTTATTATTTCTGATTACTAGTGTTGCGAATTGGTTAAAATCTCATAATCGATGATTGGTTCATTACAACCAATCAGTCATCAAAAATAATTGGTTAGCGTCATTTATCAAATTTTCCTGGTTGTTTGTTAATGACTTCTTTGATTGGCATTCTAGAAGTTGGGTAGATGAAGATTGAGGACTATTTCTATGGATATACAACTTCTATGTTCTATATAGGCGACGTTTCGACATACAGTGGAAACCTGATAATTAGCGACGTTTCGACATATATTCTAATGTTGCGTTGTCAACATGTTTGTTAGTGCACATGTTTGTTAAAAATAAAAACAAAACACGCAGTTCTTTCAGGTTTTTGCACAAAATGCATTTGCAAATTTCACATCTTTAAAGGATGACTGATATGTTAGGAACATATTTCCTGGAGTCTTTAAGATAAATTCAATCATGACTTGGAACGAGCTTGTAGTGCTTTTGAAATGTAACAGACAGAACCAACCTTGTGAAAAATATTGTCAATGCAAACAAGTGTTCCAAAATTGTTTGTGTTCGATTATGAGAAAACATGATCGATTGCTTAGTCGTTTAGTCATTGCGACCAATCTTCGATTATTTCAATTAATCGCACCACCACTACTGATTACAAGCTGAAAAAAGTTGATAGATGAGATTATAAGTAGAATTTTACCCTCATGTCATTTTGATAGTGACTGGAAGTCAGTTTCAATCTCCTTGGCCAGATACTGAGATTGAAACTTTGAGTTATATTAGTGTGCTTCATTGTTACTTTTCTCTATTAGTTGGGCTCAGAAACTTCATCTCGCATTGGTCAACATGGTTTATGTGATATTATCCTTACGGAAACACCTTAAATAAAACATTTATGATGAGCCTAAACGTGATTTTTTAAAGCTTCATTGATATACAGGCATGACTTACTGACTTATTCACCTTTTTCTGTTTTCCTACTTTAGCTATGCTGCAAGAGACAGTCCAAAGTATGAACCATACAAGAGGTAGGTGTACTTACATCATAAGACTACTTGCCTTAGACATTAACATGTCCCTGTCAAATCTGGGTTAGAATTGTCGGACCGTAACCCGCATCATATAGCTGGAATATATGCTGATTGTGACGTTTAACAATACACAGAGATTAACTCGGATGATTCTTGGGCAGAGGAAGTCTCCACAGCTCCATGGGCTTCGGGGTAGCCTAGTGGTTAAGGTGTTCGCTCGTCACCCCGAAGACCCGGGTTCGATTCCCCACATGGGCACAATGTGTGAAGCCCATTTCTAGTGTACCCCGCCCTGATATTGCTAGAATATTAAAGTGGCGTAAAACTAAACTCACTCACTCACTCACTCTACAGCTCCATCCTTGTCATTAGAGTTGACTGATGGGAGTGTGTGGTTATAAAGTATCTGTAAAATCGTAAACTATTGGTTTTGCTCTGGTTTCCTTGTTTTCTTGATCATAAACATATTATCATACCATTTCAGATCCTCATCATCTTCAAAGTCAAGGTCAAGGTCACCGGAGAATGTTGGGAAGGTCATGTTTATCACATGTTTCGGGGACGACAGTGACCACGAGGGGAAGAACGTTGTCGTGGGACCATCATTGCCAACTAATCAACAACACCAAACTCGGACTCATAGTGACAAATCTGATTCAAAGAGACAATCATGGTCGGTTCATCACTTTATTGCTCAGACAGTGGGGGGTGCCGAACAGCAAAGCTTTACGGGCAGTCGTAGCCTCTGGTTTACACTTTGCCATTAAGACCGTACCACTATGGGTACAATGAAGACATTGTTAGTTGTCCCTCATAGTAGGTAATCGATTCCAATGACTTGAAGACCCAGGTCAGAGATTGGAGAAAGGTACCCAGAACTATTATGGAGCATTGTATCGAAAGAGATTTTTCTCTATCACAGCATGAAACTGATGTTTTCCTTTTGAATGAGGATTAGGGGAACTGGAATGCGGAGTGTAGACCGGCTGTGCTGATGGTATTATCTGTATGTGCCATGTTGCAGATTTTCGTGTTTCAGATGAAGGAGAATGACAATCATGGGAATTTTGAAACCTTTTTCTTCAGCTTGTGAAGAAGTGAACTTTCATTTGTGACCTTATTGGTTGTCATTTGTGATTTCAGAAGTAATGTAAGTTAAATTCAGTTTGTGATTCTGGTGTCAAAAGTTTTATGTAAGAACACATGGCATAGAGTACAGAGTTGTTTCTGTGCTGGTGTTAATGAAATTGTGTGATGCATGTTTGCAGCTCAAAGAAATCTTCCTCAAGAAAACATCGATCCCGTTCCCGATCAAGGTCTCGGTCAAGGTCAAGATCAAGGTCGTGGAATCGTAACAGAAGGCGGCGCTCTCCCTCAAGGTCACCTTCATACACAAGGTCACGGAGGTACTCGAGGGAAAGACGACCATTGTCAAGAGACCGTAAATCCTACTCTCGTTCATCACCAAGACGATACATGGATAGAAGGAGGTATGGAGACAGGTACAGACCGAGATCTAGGTCTAGGTCAAGGTCAAGGTCACCAAGAAGGCGATCTAGGTCAAGTTCGAGGTCTTCAGCAAGATCAAGAAGTTCTCGGTCAAGTTCTCTGTCAAGCACTAGCTCAAGATCTCGTTCCAGATCCAAATCAAAGAGCAGGTCAAGGTGGGTTTATTTCTTTGTATGTTCCAGGTTTGTCCCACATTGGATTTCTGAAGGGGAGGAGTATCCAGTTAGCCATACTTGAACTAAAAGTGGAGTAAAAATGGCCTGCAGAAATGGTTGCCATAAGACATTACTCATGATACAAAAAACTGCTGAAATCGTGCTGAAAGTTACATCTAGGTTAGAATCGGTTTTCATCGACTTGTGCTAGTTGTCTGAGCGATCAGGTGATCAGGTTCTGAGTTTTTGCTGGTTAAGCTTCTTTTATCCCAGCATATTGTCTGGTTGAAACTTGCTTTTTCATAGACGGACATCATGTACCGTAGCTGAAATATTGCTGAGTAGGGCATTATTGTATGATGTTTAAAATCTTGCTGTTTATAATGATTCAGTGTTATTATTTTATTTCATCTTAAATAAAAAGATTTTAGCATGAACAGAGATTGCATCGTGATAAATTGTTCATGTTAGGTCCAAGTCACGTTCAAGGTCAAGGTCACCTGCTCGAGTGGTTCCAGTGACACAACCAGTCAAGAAATACCGCCGCAAGAGTCTGTCTTCAAATGAGAGTAAATCCGACCATGAAGATGACAATGACAAGAGAAGCAGCACCAGCTATGGCCATAACAGGTACTGTGAGAAACATCAACTTGATTAATGAAAACAATCATTATGGTTTCTGGTCCTATGCCCATCTGATCACTATGTCACTAAACACAAGTATTTTTGTGTGGCTGATTAATGGATTTCATTTGATATGTAAAAAATCCGACTCTACAGATGTTTCAGCGTAGAATGTTACAGCATACATGATTTTCATAATAAACTGACATGCTCACTGGTTGAATATGCTGAGCATCAGGACTTTCTTTATTCATGGGTACACATAGTTACCAAGTCGTCGGAGGCTGTGCAGAGTTGTGTCCCTTGGGTACTTCAGAAAGCTTTGGGTTGTAGTCCTAGTTTGGGTGTTAATATGTCTAGGTAATCACTGTAACTATGCCTGTGGGTTTCATGAAAGTGGGAATTGTTTGAGACCATCATCACTTGTGGCTTTCCTTCCATATTTAGCTAGAGGACGATGGGGTAGCCTAGTGGTTAAAGCGTTGACTCGTCACACCGAAGACTCGGGTTCGATTCCCCACATGGGTACAATGTGTGAAGCCCACACATGGCTGGAAAATTGCTAAGCAGCGTAAAACCATATTCACTCACTCATAATAATTTCTGTTCCTTTGCAGACCGACCCAGCCGATCCTCTTCTCTAAGAGTGCTGTTTTGAACCAAGTCAGTAAGAACCATTTGACTTTCAACTGAGTCTTTGTGCCCCTTGCAAGCAGTTAGCTTCTTACCCTCCACTCACACAGTTGTCGTGACTCCAGTGCCCTACCTTGAGTTTCTATGTTAAGGCCTGCACTAGAACACAGTGCACTGTCGGCCCTGGGGGCCAGACCAGCATGCTGTATGTAGAGACCGCTGTGTCCTGGACGACATGCTAGTCAACAAACTCTTGATTCTTACACATGAATTAAGAATAGGCTGGTTTATGTCTTTTGGTTTTGTAGTTCTTGTTCTTGATAAAATATGTGTTTGTTTTAGATGATTTTGAATATTTTTATAATTTTTAAGTAAAATAGTGGTATATGATTAATATTGGTATGTATTAAATATTGATGTTTTTCTGTTTATGTAAAATGTGTCAGTTGATAATAGGTTGTTGTGGATGAGTAACCCATTCATGTTTTTATGAAAAAATATTTAATTGCTTTAAAAATATTGTATGATGTTTTATATTGATTCACCTCAGTACAGAGGTCTACCATATGAAGTTTAGAATAGAAACTAATGTTCTGTGCTGTGTTAATGCCAAACATGCCAATAGAGGTATTCCAGGAGCTTTTAATTCCTCAGGAGCATCATACCCAACCTGTGTGTAATCTTTCCCTGGATTTTGGCCCCACGTACCTAATATGTGGGATTGTTGTCAGCCCCACCTATGTAGTCTGTGGGAATGTTTTCAGCCCCACCAATGTAGTAAGCCCCACCCATGTAGTATGTGGGAATGTTTTCAGCCCCACCTTTGTAGTAAGCCCCACCCATGTAGTATGTGGGAATGTTTTCAGCCCCACCCATGTAGTCTGTGGGAATGTTTTCAGCCCCACCTTTGTAGTAAGCCCCACCCATGTATTTTGTGGGAATGTGTTCAGCCCCACAGCCCCACCCATGTAGTATGTGGGAAGCCCCACCCATGTAGTATGTGGGAATGTTTTCAGCCCCACCTTTGTAGTAAGCCCCACCTATGTAGTATGTGGGAATGTTTTCAGCCCCACCTTTGTAGTAAGCCCCACCCATGTAGTATGTGGGAATGTTTTCAGACCCACCAATGTAGTATGTGGGAATGTTTTCAGCCCCACCCATGTAGTATGTGGGAATGTTTTCAGCCCCACCTTTGTAGTAAGCCCCACCCATGTAGTATGTGGGAATGTTTTCAGCCCCACCAATGTAGTATGTGGGAATGTTTTCAGCCCCACCCATGTAGTCTGTGGGAATGTTTTCAGCCCCACCTATGTAGTATGTGGGAATGTTTTCAGCCCCACCCATGTAGTCTGTGGGAATGTTTTCAGCCCCACCTTTGTAGTAAGCCCCACCCATGTAGTATGTGGGAATGTTTTCAGCCCCACCATGTAGTATGTGGGAATATGTGGCCCCAATGTTTTCAGCCCCACCTTGTGTAGTATGTTTTCAGCCCCACCCATGTAGTATGTGGGAATGTTTCAGCCCACCTTTGTAGTAAAGCCCCACCCATGTAGTATGTGGGAATGTTTTTAGCCCCACCAATGTAGTAAGCCCCACCCATGTAGTATGTGGGAATGTTTTCAGCCCACCCCATGTAGTAAGCCCCACCCATGTAGTATGTGGGAATGTTTTCAGCCCACCAATGTATGTGGGAAGCCCCAGCCCCATGTTTGTAGTATGTGGGAATGTTTTCAGCCCCACCTTTGTAGTAAGCCCCACCCATGTAGTATGTGGGAATGTTTTCAGCCCCACCTTTTAAGCCCCACCCATGTAGTATGTGGAATGTTTTCAGCCCCCACCATGTAAGTGTAGTAAGCCCCACCATGTAGTATGTGGGAATGTTTTCAGCCCCACCCATGTAGTGTAGTAATGTGGGAATGTTTTCAGCCCCACCTATGTAGTATGTGGGAATGTTTTCAGCCCCACCTATGTAGTAAGTGGGAATGTTTTCAGCCCCACCTATGTTGTATGTGGGAATGTTTTCAGCCCCACCTTTGTAGTAAGCCCCACCCATGTAGTATGTGGGAATGTTTTCAGCCCACCTTTGTAGTAAGCCCCACCCATGTAGTATGTGGGAATGTTTTCAGCCCCACCTATGTAGTATGTGGGAATGTTTTCAGCCCCACCTTTGTAGTAAGCCCCACCCATGTAGTATGTGGGAATGTTTTCAGCCCCACCTATGTAGTATGTGGGAATGTTTTCAGCCCCACCTAAGTTGTATGTGGGAATGTTTTCAGCCCCACCTATGTAGTAGGTGGGAATGTTTTCAGCCCCACCTTGTGTATGTAAGCCCCACCCATGTAGTATGTGCCCCAATGTTTTCAGCCCCACCTATGTAGTAAAGTATGTGGGAATGTTTTCAGCCCCATGTAGTATGTGGGAATGTTTTCAGCCCCACCCATGTAGTATGTGGGAATGTTTTCAGCCCCACCCATGTAGTATGTGGGAATGTTTTCAGCCCCACCTATGTAGTATGTGGGAATGTTTTTCATGTGTGGGCCCAGCCCATGTAGTAGTATGTGGGAATGCCCCCACCCATGTAGTATGTGGGAATGTTTTCAGCCCCACCTATGTAGTATGTGGGAATGTTTTCAGCCCCACCTATGTTGTATGTGGGAATGTTTTCAGCCCCACCTTTGTAGTAAGCCCCACCCATGTAGTATGTGGGAATGTTTTCAGCCCCAACCTTTGTAGTAAGCCCCCACCCATGTAGTAAGCCCCACCCATGTAGTATGTGGGAATGTTTTCAGCCCCACCTATGTAGTAATGTTTTCAGCCCCACCCATTTTCAGCCCCACCCTGTGTAGTATGTGGGAATGTTTTCAGCCCCACCCATGTTGTAGTAAGCCCCACCCCATGTAGTATGTGGGAATGTTTTCAGCCCCACCTATGTAGTATGTGGGAATGTTTCAGCCCCACCAATGTGTATGTGGGAATGTTTTCAGCCCCACCTTGTATGTTTTAAGCCCCACCCATGTAGTATGTGGGAATGTTTTCAGCCCCACCTATGTAGTAAGTTTTCCCCACCCATGTGGGAATGAATTTTCAGCCCCACCTTTGTAGTAAGCCCCACCCATGTAGTATGTGGGAATGTTTTCAGCCCCACCTTTGTAGTAAGCCCCCCACCATGTAGTATGTGGGAATGTTTTCAGCCCCACCTATGTAGTATGTGGGAATGTTTTCAGCCCCACCTTTGTAGTAAGCCCCACCCATGTAGTATGTGGGAATGTTTTCAGCCCCACCTATGTAGTATGTGGGAATGTTTTCAGCCCCACCTATGTAGTATGTGGGAATGTTTTCAGCCCCACCTATGTAGTATGTGGGAATGTTTTCAGCCCCACCCATGTAGTATGTGGGAATGTTTTCAGCCCCACCTTTGTAGTATGTGGGAAGCCCCACCCATGTAGTATGTGGGAATCAGCCCACTATGTAGTTTTCAGCCCCACCTTTGTAGTAAGCCCCACCCATGTAGTATGTGGGAATGTTTTGTGTTTTCAGCCCCCACCTAAGCCCCACCCATGTAGTAGTGGGAATGTTTTCAGCCCCACCTATGTAGTATGTGGGAATGTTTTTCAGCCCCAGCCCTACCCATGTGTAGTGTGGGAATGTTTTTCAGCCCCCACCCATGTAGTATGTGGTATGTGGGAATGTTTTCAGCCCACACTTTGTAGTAAGCCCCACCATGTAGTATGTGGGAATGTTTTCAGCCCCACCCATGTAGTATGTGGGAATGTAGTAAGCCCCACCCATGTAGTATGTGGGAATGTTTTGCCCCACCCATGTAGTGTGGGAATGTTTTCAGCCCCACCTATGTAGTATGTGGGAATGTTTCAGCCCCACCTTTGTTTTCATGTGGGAATGTTTTCAGCCCCACCTTTGTAGTAAGCCCCACCCATGTAGTATGTGGGAATGTTTTCAGCCCCACCCACCTATGTAGTAAGCCCCACCCATGTAGTATGTGGTAAGCCCCACCTATGTAGTATGTGGGAATGTTTTCAGCCCCACCTTTGTATGTGTATGGAATGTTTTTCAGCCCCCACCTATGTAGTATGTGGGAATGTTTTCACCTATGTTGTATGTGGGAATGTTTTCAGCCCCACCTTGTGTAGTAAGCCCCACCTATGTAGTATGTGGGAATGTTTTCAGCCCCACCTATGTAGTATGTGGGAATGTTTTCAGTTTTCCCCACCTATGTAGTAAGTGTGGGAATGTTTTCAGCCCCACCCTATGTAGTATGTGGGAATGTTTTCAGCCCCACCTATGTAGTAAGCCCCACCCATGTAGTAAGCCCCCACCTATGTAGTATGTGGGAATGTTTTCAGCCCCACCCCCACCTTTGTAGTAAGCCCCACCCATGTAGTATGTATGTGGGAATGTTTTCAGCCCCACCTATGTAGTAAGCCCACCCATGTAGTATGTGGGAATGTTTTCTTTGTAGTGTAAGCCCCACCTTTGTAGTAAGCCCCACCCATGTAGTATGTGGGAATGTTTTCAGCCCCACCTTGTTGTAGTAAGTTTTCCCCACCTTTGTAGTAATGTATGTAGTATGTGGGAATGTTTTGGGAAGCAGCCCCACTTTGTAGTATGTGTGGGAATGTTTTCAGCCCCACCTTTGTAGTAAGCCCCACCAATGTAGTATGTGGGAATGTTTTCAGCCCCACCTTTGTAGTAAGCCCCACCCATGTAGTATGTGGGAATGTTTTCAGCCCCACCTTTGTAGTAAGCCCCACCAATGTAGTATGTGGGAATGTTTTCAGCCCCACCTATGTGGTATGTGGGAAGTTTTCCCCACCTTTGTATGCAGTATGTATGTATGGGAATGTTTTCAGCCCCACCCTTGTAGTGGGAATGTTTTCAGCCCCACTAATGTAGTATGTGGGAATGTTTTCAGCCCCACCTTTGTAGTAAGCCCCACTATGTATGTATGTAGTATGTGGGAATGTTTTCAGCCCCATGTAGTATGTGGGAATGTTTTCAGCCCCACCTTTGTAGTAAGCCCCACCTATGTAGTATGTGGGAATGTTTTCAGCCCCACCTTTGTAGTAAGCCCCACTAATGTAGTATGTGGGAATGTTTTCAGCCCCACCTTTGTGGTAAGCCCCATCTATGTAGTAAGTGGTAATGTTTTCAGCCCAACCTATGTAGTATGTGGGAATGTTTTCGGCCCCACCTATGTAGTATGTGGGAATGTTTTCAGCCCCACCTATGTAGTAAGTGGGAATGTTTTCGGCCCCACCTATGTAGTAAGTGGGAATGTTTTCGGCCCCACCTATGTAGTAAGTGGGAATGTTTTCAGCCCCACCTTTGTAGTAAGCCCCACCAATGTAGTAAGTGGGAATGTTTTCAGACCCATTCTGAGTGTGGGAATGTGTTTGGCCCGACCTATGTAGTAAGTGGGAATGTGCTTGGCCTGACCTATGCTGTAGGCGCCACCTTAGTAGTATGAGGAAAAGTTTTGATCTCACCTTTGAAATGGTGGGGATTGGAGTAACCCGCCCCCTTCAGCCCATGTATTATGTGGGAGTGAATGTCGTTGGAAATTGATCTGACCCCTAGGAGTGAATGCCGGCACCAGTGTATAATATTCTTCTGTTTGTGAACCCCACCCATGTGTACCCAAGGAGTGAATACCCCCCCACCTGTGTATTATGTGGGAGAAGATGTGAGCCCTGTCTATCTCTAATGTAAGAGTGGGTGTTTCAGGTGAAGATGACCCCCCAGGAGCGGCTCAAGCGCAAAATGCAAGCTCAGCTCAACAAGCAATGTAAGTGGCACTTATGTTGCAGCTCAACAGTGCGTGTGCGTGTACAGTGTAGTGTAGTTGGCCCCTTTATGGAAAAATACAAGCAGCATATGTAGCACTTCTAACATCACTCAGCAAGCAGCTTAGGTGGCAAATATACTGTAACTCAATGAACATTGCAGAGGGCATTTACAAAACAACAAGCGAACTCACACTTTTAATTTTATCATAGTACCACAAGCCGTCAACAGGATTCGTACAACAATGAAAAATGCTTGATTCTCATATTTTACCATTAAGTATTGGAAAAGTGCTGTAATATTTTTAACAGTTCCCGATAAGTGCTGGCATGTACATGGAAATAGTCAAGCTGTAACAAAATCTCTGTTGACAATTATTAACAATTGAGTAGTAATGTGTTGTTTACGTCTTATAGCTTAACAACATTAAAATGGCATGTAAGCCATAACTCAACAAGCAGTCAAGGTTTGGCTTAATAGTGATTAGATGGTTATATTGAAGCAGTTTTATACGCCTTGAGTCACATCAGGACATGAAGCTGACTAAAGATGCTGCCAACCATTGTCTATGGTGTAATTTTACTTGATGTTGTTGAGAAAATCTGTAATTTTTGTTAAGTTATGTTAATGTGCTGATGGTGACTGTTTCTTTCAGACAAGGCCGACAAAAAGGCTGAGACGATGCGGATATCCAAAGTGGAACAAGAGAGAATGGTGAGTTGGATGATTGTAATCATAGAAGACAAGGAGATGGTCCCATCTGACATTTAGATTTCCCAGCAACTTGTTATAATAGACAACTTCAAGGATTGGGTGCCCTGGCTTGGTGACTTTGTTTGTTTGCATTTTCCCGGGACTGGTCTAGACAGATTAGGTACAGACTGTTTCTGTCTGCTGTTTCAAATACAAACAAAGAAAACGATGGTTGATGCATTTCATTGTATCCTAGTTGTGTAGATTTATGCTCAGCATGTCGATCACTTGATGGTCCAGACTGGATTACTTGAAGACAGTATTTAGAATATTGCCAAATGTCTTGTTAAACAACAAACAAAAAAAAAACACATGCAGGTTCACACTCCGGAGAGACTTCGTGTGTTGTGTATCAACTTTGTATGTCTACTTTCAGGACAGAGAAGAAGACTTGCGTTCTCGTGCGATGGAGATGCGACGCCGGGAACGGGAAAAGAGACACAAAGAGATGGAGGAGAGGGAGCGGAACGCCAGGTACGACAGTGACAGCGACAGCAGTCGGAGTCCCAGCAGATCACCACGACGTTCACGGAGAGACAGGTAAACAAGCAATCAATTTGGAGTTAAGGTGCATGTTATGTTTGAAATTGTTGACATACTGTCCCAAGCAATTCAATAGAATTTTCCAATTTTCCACTTCTCATCATTAATCTAATTCTAATGTTATTTTGCCTGGATTATGGGAAAGGTATTTGTGTTTTTGGAATGAAACATTTCTTTTTCTAGGTCATTGACACGATCAAGATCACGCTCAATATCAAAGTCAAGGTCAAGGTCAAGGTCAAGGTCAATGTCCCCTGCCCGTGGATTGGTTTCTTACTAAAGAGAGCAGCATCTTGGCATGAGGTTGGAAAATAATGGATTAAGAATGAGTCGTGACAATAATCACAACTGCAGAGTGGGCTCTTTGTGATGTTTTAAGGCTTAAATCCAATCACAGCTGCCATATACATACAGCCCCACTTATTGCAGTTGTATTTACTGTTTGGGCAAGGAGAAGCACTATGTGTTGGGGGCACACACACCAGGTGAAACAGTGGTGTTGCCCTAATTACACTGGCTGTATGGCAAGGGGTATGTATTTATATTACCTGAACAATGCCAGTTGTTCTTCGTGGCTTTCCTGAGTGCATTAGATTGCTAAACTGAACAATCATTGACTTTGTTTGCAGAAAGAGCTTTGTTGTCAATATTTTAAGTTAAAGTCAAGAGAGCTGCATTTAACCTGCAATGGGAATGGGGATTTTGCTCTTTGTCTTTGCTGTGGGTGAAATGCAGATTTTATGATTAGATGTCTGAAAATAGATTGCATGGTATTATGTTATTTGAGGAGGTTGTTTTTTTACTTTAATAAGGAATGTAACATTTTGCATCCGAGATCAGTTTTGAGTGATTCGTTAATCAAATAAATATTTTTGGTTTAATATGGTTTTTTTTGATAATCTTAGGAAAAATACAATTGCAGGCACCAAATGAAAATTAGATATATTTTTGTGACAACTGTTTTGATTTCATGTCAGTTTTGCTGTAAATCAGGTATGTTTTTCAAGAAACTTACATTTGGGACCACAGTAAACTATATTTTTCTCATTTTGTGACAGTCAGCATTTACTTTTCACCTGAGAATGTGTATGAACTGACCAGTGTATGAGTACCACTGAGACTGGTCACAAACCTCGTGCTTCCTCATCGTGTTTGTCATTCTCTCTGAGAATCTGGATGTACACCAAGCCTAACAGAAAAATAAGGCAGTGTACCAAAAAACAGCATTCTGCTCAAAGTGTTCAGTGGATTTCACAGTGCCATTCGACTACACATGTAAATCTTAATCTGTTATTGTTTATAGAAGAGCAAGCATTTTATAAAATGTGTGAGTTATCTCCCTTAGAAGAATTCATGTTCATTGTTCATCAAACACAGATCTCTGGTTTCACAAAGTGTTTTCAGTTTTATGAGTCATTACTAGGTTCACATAGACTTAGGACAGTGTCAAGTGTTTGTCATGATACAAAACATTACTGATGGGTACCATGGCAACGCAAGCCACAGGCTCCTCACCTCACCTCATATAGGGCTGAAATTCAAAAATAAAAGTTGTGTTGGAGATTACAGCCCATGCATTTTGTTTTGTGATATACGTATATGCATAGATAGATAAATATGCACGTTTTGCATGTACACAGCATATGCAAAACAAATAACTGCTGGAGAAAAGAGACCATTATCATCTAAACCACTAGCAGCATATGTAAATGTATGCACATTTTGTGTTTGATGCAAGAATACTGTTCCTGTATGTGTTATATCTTCAAAGTTCAGACTGTACTGTTGGCATGACTGATAAATGCATACCTTCACCTTACGCTTTATTCCTCGCACAGCAGAAAGATGATGAAAACAGGGGAACAATTTTTGTAAACATTTGCAAATTATATATGCAGTGTTTCCATGAAATCCTTCTATCCTTCATTTATCAGCCATTATATTCTTAACTTATGACTGCTTATATGCTATTCAGGAGAAGTTAACAAACACCAACCTTTTCATTTGACCAGTTAATCTGTTATGTTGACAGGAGTCATATAGTACAATCAGGTGTCTAAAACATCTATTGTCTAATGTGAAAGGTTTACTATAGCAATATTTGCAGCAGATAAGTTGAGAATTTTAATATGCCATCATGTTATTATAAATCTCTGTTGAGTGCTTATGGTACAGCGGGCTAAATATATAGCGACTAATGTGTCTGACTGCATTCATGTTTCCTGATGGTTTGACATTTGAAATAAGTTGTCAACATCATGATACATTTTCACTTTTGTAAATGCAGTTCTGTTTTTGTGTTTTTGGTAGTTCACTTAAACCTTTCCATGTTTCCACAGCAGATAAATTCTGGTTTGCTGAGAATCCCGTCAGAGAACTGTTTAGAATTATGCAATACAATGACACTGGTGTTGAATATTATTGAATATTAAATTATATTTAATCATAGTCTTTAAGACACTTATCTGTGCTTTGCGATGCTTTGGTAACTTCTTGGTTGAAATGATCTCAACAGTCTAGTTAGTATCAGCATCTTGAACTGAAGAACACTTGGTATATATGACACAACATTTGCTAAGGACCAACAATCTTTAGTCAAAGATGTGTTCCTTAGGAAATATTGAGTTGTATACATTCAAAACAAATGCTAATCTTTGAGGTGATAATAATAAACAATGAAATGGCAATTCATATTTTATTTAGTGTGGTGTGGTGAGAATACTTAGACAGTAGCGTAAAACGTCATACGTCACCGCCAGCAGCAGCCAGTAGTGTCTGGTTTGGGCGGAGTGGTAGCATTCCATGACCTCTATGTTATCTGTACTACACTGAAGGATGGCTGACAATGTCTGATTGCAAGCTCCGAACACATACATCCTTGTCACACATCCTGCTGCAGAGTGTGTCTATGATTGAATATGATTGTGCTCCACTCTCACAACAACTGCTGTGGTGTTGTCTGATGATAATAAACTGTCTTGCTTAACATTCACTGAGTTTGTTTGTATTTTCACTCTTTCGAGGTTCTGTGATTGTGCAGAGTTATGTCCCTTCGGTATGCAAGCAAGTATGATCTGCTTCAAGAGCCCAATTTGTGCTTATTATGTATCTAGATTCTTCAGCACCACAGAAAAAACTGAGACATGAATCACTTTGTACACTAAACGCCAAGAGAAACGTTACCCTCCTACCTTTATGAATTACTTAAAAACTATCAAAGATATCTTAGAAGGTATTAGTTTATGAGAAAGCTTAACAACACAGCTTTATGTAAATCACGAAAACAAATTCTCAAATTCATTCATATTTAGGTGAAATGCATCTTTTTCAGATTTAAATTGTCCTATTTTCGACCATGCCGAAATACACCAATAACAGTGATTCAGATGTCGAAAAGAAAGGTGGAAATAAAAATCTGCTTTGAGACAAAGATAAACTATTTAAACTCACCATTTTTCAACTATTAAAAAAAGAAACAACTGTTCTAGAGTGTGTAGAATTGTAAAATAATCATTCCTATGATGTTAGTCTTTTAAAACATTTTCTGCTGATTTGCATTAGTGAAAAATAGTAAAACGTGTCTTTGATATTGTGAAAAAATGATTAGGAAAATCTAAAATTATCTTTGTTCACACTTTTGCTTGCAAAGTAACATTTTTCCATTTCCTGTTTACACATAGCAATATCAATCGCCAAAACGCAGCAATATTCAATCAGTATTTGCCTCCATTTCACATGTAAAATGATTCTATAGGGTATGAAGAGAGCCTAGAATACATGATAGTATACACAAGTACGAGAAATATGCCACGATTAACAGCTGAAGAGAGAGAAAGAGCCATTGGGATGGTGCAGGTGGGGTCGACATACAATGCTGTTGCCAACGCCCTCGGATGCCACCGTATCACGGTTATCAGACTTAATGAGGGCTTCAGACAGACTGGGGTCACCGTAGACGGACCAAGAAGTGGACGTCTACGCATCACAAAGCCAGCTGAAGATAGGTACCTCCGTCACCGAGGAAGGAGGGTAACGTTTCTTTTGGCGTTTAGTGTATTTTTCCCAACATGTTACTTAATTGTGGTCATCTAAGTTTAATCAATTTACACTTGTTCGAGGAGTACACAGAATATGATCTATTCTACCAGTTGTCCGACTTCCCTTTTTTGTGAAAGCCGCGCTGGCTAACTGGGTTAAATCGCTAGCTTTGTGTGCTAGTGATTAGCTTCCCTGTCTCTGAGAGAGGGGTTTGAATCCTGGATGAGACTTAACCCAACAAAATGTACATTGCTGAGAAAGTGTATTCCCAAATATAACATATGTTATATTTTCAGTTCAGTGTTGAACTCAAACTCACTCACTGGTTGTTTAATGTGTTCAGGGGTGAAGTTGATGCCTTCTGAATCCTTGATTATCTACGCACTTCTATGAGGATATTTACCTGGGAACTGTTCCCAATAATAGCATCGTGTTTGGATGAGTTCCACCATATCTTGTAACTAACTTAGCACAAAATTTCTCTAGCTCTTGAGCTTTTAAGAAATGAAAAAGATTCCTTTCGACAAGTGTTTGTCATTAGTTTGCATCAACAGGACCGCCTTGCACAAACAAGGACTTCAATTTTTCAAGTAAAAGGTTTCAGATCGAAACACTCTAGGGATGAATCTTAAAAATATTACCCCAGTGACATGACTTCACTGGTAAAGGGGCGGTGGGGTAGCCTAGTGGGTAAAGCGTTAGCTCGTCACGCCGAAGACCCTGGTTCGATTCCCTACTTGGGTACAATGTGTGAAGCCCATTTCTGGTGTCCCCCGCCGTGATGTTGCTTGAATATTGCTAAAAGCGGCGTAAAACCAAACTCACTCACTCACTGGTAAACATTAACATGTGCAAGACATTCTTCTAATAAAAATTGTTCTTGATATGTAACAAATATGGCTTTTAGCTCACCTGACTTTGCTGTAGCAGAATAGAGCGTGTTTTGTCAGATAAACTTCTCTTTCAGAACATAAGCTGGAGCAAAGACAAAAAGCAAACATTTCACGTTATGGTAGTAATGATCTACTAATTCTTGCATTTTGTGTTCAGGTAGTCTGTCTCACAGTCCCTGAACCACATTATTTTCCCTACTGCCAAGCCGTCTCTGCAGTGCTAAAGCCCTAAATGAGGCAAGTCTGGATTTCCTCAGGTTATCTGGACTCCCTGGGGCTCTGTTTCATTTAAAACGGGTTTGTTTGTTACTTTCAAAATTATGTATATTCAGAGATTAAGCTTTAGTCTAGTGTTCAGGGTTCTGAGATTTTGCTGTCATGGCAAGTGCTGACACAATAAGAGGTAGTAAAATGGCTCAAATCTTTAGTCTAAGTTGCGTTTTCTTGAGTATTATACGGCGCCTCAACCGGTACAAATGTTTACCCACTTCATTCTGGCCAAAAGTACGAACCGATCAATAAGTAAACAGTCCCGTCGTGTTTAAAGTTTTATTACTGCTGAAGAGTTTGAGCGGGCAAAAAAAAAAAATGTGTGATCTGCTGGATTGTGTACCTGACGACATTCAAACTTTTCGTCCCTTGTGGATTTTAAGAAGTTGCTTTTATAAAAATGTTATATGTAAAATCAAGTTTTACAAAGTAGAAAATCAAGTGTGCGTTTTTAAAACATTAGAATGATCAGCTCGGTCCACCTGTTCCAGTGGCAGTGAATGGCGTTTTGCTGAATGTTGATGTTTGACTGGGAACAATTTTGCATCTCGAATTAATGATGGAAGACGTTAATCTCCGGATATGAATAATGATATCCGAATGAAACTGGTAGCGGGGAATATTACTCAAGTTTAACGAAGCGGATGCATTTCTAACTGTGATACTCTTAAGTACTAGTATACGGACCTAAATATGCATAAGACTTAACAGAGGCTAACACGGGTATTTCACACCATAAATCCAATAAGATCGGTTTACAACAAATATATCTTACCTGCATCCATTCAGGTCAGTAATATATGCCAGCAGTTTTTCTGACCTAACGAATATTTCGCTTGATTTTCTGTCCTGAGTCAGGTTTTCAACGAAAAACAACATACCGGGCAGACGACACAAACGAACAGAGTTGCTTCCCTTTACCCACTCAGAAGGCTCCGGTTCGTTCCCAACAGGGGCACATGCACCTGGTGTGTTGCTCGTTGCAGCTTTCACCACGTGATATTGCTGCAATAAAGAAAAACGGCATAAAACCATACTCACTTACTAACTTGTTACGTGGAGTCACTGGAGAGGAGACCCGTGGAGATCCGGGGTAGAACAGGTCTTCAGCAACCCATGCTTGCCACAAAAGGCGACTATGCTTGTAAGAGGCGACTAACGGGATCGGGTGGTCAGGCTCGCTGACTTGGTTGACACATGTCATCGGTTCCCAATTGCGCAGATCGATGCTCATGCTGTTGATCACTGGATTGTCTGGTTCAGACTCGATTATTTACAGACCGCCGCCATATAGCGGGAATATTGCTGAGTGCGGCGTAAAACTCAACTCACTCACTCATTGGAGAGGATATTCTTACCGGGGTGAACCGCTATATGTTAAAAATAAAGTTCAATCAATCTATATAACACATTTCTGAAACCATGGAAGATAAACTCATTCTGGAAAGACACACATGGTTTACTTTTAATAACGTTTTGCGTTAACTAATCCCCACATCTCATTATCTGTATGCAACTAATCCTTTAACGACGTCATCATCAACTGCATAATCTTCGTAGCTATGAATACACAATGCCATTTAGAAAGTGATTAAATGCAACACGTGGTATATTTAGGATTACAATTTCTTAGTAAAGTACAGATTCTAGTCCTATCCAAAATTCGAACCCACACCCTCAGAGTAAGGCACCTAATCGCCAGCACACGAAGCCGGCCATCTATAAATGGCTAGATGGCCCTATACTATTTGCAACATGTGTAAAATATATTTTACAACTTCGGAAATCGCTCTAATCACTTTCCAATGGGCTTTGAGCAAGCTATAACCAAGAGATATATAACTGTTAAAACAGTCATCGTGGTGGAAACAGTCCGTTAATTTTAAAAAAAAAATTGGTCTAATATGCTACAGAATATTAGCAATCAATATATGTGTATCCCAAGCAAACAGTTTTCAAACCAGTGACCTTTCCGAATTTATCCTTGGAGGAAACACGTTTTTACAACAGTTCCCCTACTGCCAAAAACACGTTTGTTTCTCTTAAATCACGTCCTTATTAAACAATTAATTCGCAGCTTTCAATGAAATATATTTGTCCACCGTGTTAGCTGGTAGTGCGGTTTCGCACAAAGCAACGTTTGATCTAGGTTAAGTTCACACAAAACGATTTATTGATGATATTTCTTCAGAAAAATGACCACACTCCTGTGCCCTGAAAGAACAAACATCAATCCCGAGCTGCTGAGTGTCAGTGGATGCAGGCGAAACGCCCTTTGTGTCCCGGCGTTTCACACAAGTAGGTAATGTTTGCAGATTAGCTGTGTTCTTTACGCGCGTGTGTGAAGCGGGAGGTCAAGGGACATTATGTCCGGTTTTTATCATCAAAGATACCGTAAAGGGTCTGTAAAAAGGGCGAACGGGGGCCAGTCGTATGAGCCACAACAACGTGTTAAAAACATACGGCAGTGGGTTCGAATCCCAGATTCGCCCGAATCATGTTTTAGTGTTTTAGAGTGAGTGAGTTTTGTTTTACGCCGCACTCAGCAATAATCCAGCTATATGGCGGCGGTCTGTAAATAATCGAGTCTAGACCAGACAATCCAGTGATCAACAAGTGAGTGAGTGAATTTTAGATTGATTGATGGAGCGAGTGAGTTAGGTTTTACGTTGCTTTAAACAATATCCCAGCAATATCAGGACAGGGGGCCCAGAAATGGACTTTACACGTTGTACCCATGGCCGGAATCGAACCCCGAACTTCGACGTGACGAGCGAACAGTTAAAC